TAAATTCTGTAAGGAAATGTCTGTTCATTTTATTTACTCATCTGTTTGATTTATAGCCTGCTTTTCCTCCTGAGATCCTCTCCTCCAATTTTATCCCCACAGCAGTTCTGTGAAACAGGTTAAGCTAAGAGGTGCCCACTGGCCACAAATTCCCCAGGGTGTTTCATGACTGAGAGGGGCCTTGAATATGAGTCTTAGTCTAGCAAAATCTGAACTAAATTGACATGCTGGATGTAGCTCATACAACTCAGAAGAACCCAAAATGTGCTCTTGCTATTTGCATCTACTTTGGATAGTAATAACAAAAACACTCTGTCTTTCTGCTTATAGAATTACTCAAGGAGGCTTACTACATAAATATAAAATATAAAAATGATAGTAAAAATAATCTCAGGATGATTAAGATCAGCTTAACAGTTAACAGCTTGGAAGTTTTGGTTGGTTTTTTTTTTTTAATTGTGCCATTTGCCTAAATATAGGGTGTGTTGAGGTGTTTCCTAAATACTCACCTCCCTGGGAAGAGCATTCCATAGCCTGGGAGCCATGCAAAGGAGCCCCCCCCCCCTTTCATACCAGAGAGCTGAAACTTTTGGCAGTGAAGGCGTCTTCAAAGGGGCCTTTCCTGTTCATCCACATAACTGGGCAGGTTTATGATAGGAGAGATGGATTCTTAGGTAGTTGAGAAATACCAAAGGGAAGCAGATTACTTGGAGGTGTTTGGACATTGTCCAGAGTGCATGTCATTCCAAGGACCATCTGAAACAAAGTAGGTAGAATCTTAAGGCTGGTTGCTAAAGGCATCAGTTGTGCAGCAATTAATCAGCTTTAGTCTTTCCTTTCTCAATCACTTTTAATCATTTAAACCTATTATTTTGGTGTTAAGTTCAAAAGCTCTTTGCAGAGCTGTTGTACTATATGGTACTGTATTAATTACAGCTTAAAATCTTGTCCAAATGCAGGATTAGAGTGAGACTGCCAGATAGAATAGATTCTTTGGTAAAGAAATTTATCTGTACAATGATGGGTTGAGTTATAAAAAAAATAAGATGGACCAATGCAGATGTCTTCTGCTACTGAATACGGTCAATTCAGGGAGGTGAATCTCTCTTGGATGAGCTAGGAAGGTCTGCACCTAACCAGAAGTTGCCTTTATAAATTATATTCCCTAATGCAACTTGTAATTCTGCACTGTTGTCCTAATCCAATAAACTCTTTAAATAGTTCCTGCAAAGTTATATTTGGGTTTTTAAGCAGTATTTGTTGGCTCCAACCCTGGCCTAATGCATATTCGATCAGTAGAGTGGTTCCTTAAAAACGAGCACTTGGAGATGTAAGAACAAAGAGGTCTTGCAATTTATTGTGTGCGATATGGGATGGTTCCAGTAGTGACATCCTATGTAAAGTGATCCTACATTGCTTCTTGCATTTTTGTGATACTGTATTTACTCCACTCTGAATCCTTGATTGTACAAGGACAATTATTTCATTATATGGATAAATGGTCCTGCTTATCAGAAAAGGAAAAAATGGCATGCATATAATAGATACTTTTACTCTAAACCAGTGTTTCTCAACCTTGCCAAGTTTAAGATGGGTCTACCCATCTTTAATTTGCCGAGGTTGAGAAACACTGCTGTAAACTCTAAGCTTAATTTGACACAAAACAGGGGTCCAGTCAGTTGGTCTTCTGATCCGGCTCCTGTGCCTTTCAGTAACTGGATTACATAGGATAATGGATGATGTGGTATCTATTGCGTTCTTCCTTCCCACTTTGTTCTGCTGAGGTCTACAATGACATGAACTTCCATAAGGGGTTGAACTGTGATGGAATAGGGATTTGCTCCCTTTTTACAGGTTTTCACCTCAGTTAACAGAATTGGGTTTTTTATCCCTTTGCCATTGCATCTAGCAATATTTACAAGGAAAAACACAGCTTGTTTAAAGCAATTTCATGAGCTCATAGCATGTTAGTAGAGATGATTTTCTCTTTTTAAAGAATTCTCTCCTCTATATTGTTTTAACTGTTGACTTGAAATTAGTACATTTTTTTCAGATTTGCCAAAGTTTTTGTAAAAGCTTTTGTGAGAAATTCCATAAATGTGATCTCTGTCGGAAAAACAGCTTGATGAAAGCCCGATTTGATTATTTTATTTTCCAGTGATCTAAGCCCTATTCTGCATTAATCTTATCTTCAAAATGCTAACGCTGTTCAATGAGTATTAATTTCCACAATGTTTGGAAATTAAACTGAAGAGCCATAATCTTCCATTTGACTACAGCTACTTGTGTACAGTTTGCTTGGCGTCCAGCTTAAAATTTCCTATCCCTGGAACAAAGAAAAAGAAATACGATTGCTGCAGTGTGAAGTAACTAAGAGTGCAGGAGACGGCCTGATTTCGTGAAATCAGTTTAAGTAAATCATTACATTTGAAATGTGTGTTGAGACCTTAACAGTGAGGCTGGGAACCATCTGTTTTGTAGAGGCAGGAAATAGAGGTTGAATTGGATTAGTAGCGCAGACTCATACCATCGTGTAGGATATATAGATCAAATGGATTAGCCAGCCAAGTGGAATTACATTTGTTTTGGTTTTAAAAGCACATATATCACTTACTTGAGTTTGACTCCCCTGCATGTCTAGAAGAGAGATAGTGTGCTGAGTTATATTGGCTTTCCATTCTGGATGTTGAATATTTGGTATAGTTATTATTAGCTTAGCACTCCTTCATTAGTTGGAAGTGCTTCATTTACAGTATTGTCAACTGAATGCAATCCAGTTGTAATAAATGGGTCACTATCTTAAAAACACTTCATTAGGGTTTTATACTGGAAACAAAGAAAATGAACATTCATTCCATTTATGAATATTAGTGACAAATTAGCAAAACAAAAAATTATTTACAGTAATTTCAATTATTCTTTTAAGGTTTGTGTTCTTCTCAGAAGATAGCTTATCTGTAATAATAATTTCTTTTCTGAGTTTAGATATTATTCAGCTGGAATTTCATAGATTGGTAGTTCCCATTTCAGAATGGAGATGGTGGTTGTTAAAACTTAAATCACATGAATTAAGGGCTTTACTTCAGAATTTGATAGGAAATCCATGTATCATATTGTCAAATTGCCCAGGATTACTATTGCTGTATTCAATTTCAAAAGCTGCCAGAATCTGATACGAAGCCAAGAACAGGATTATAATAAAAATCTAGTGAGGATTTTTCATTACCTGCCAGCTCATTGCAGGCTATCTCATTACTTAATCAGGATTCCAAATATGGACTACAATAATAACTTGGTAATTCTGCCGTTGTTCAGAATAAATATAGTTTTACTGAAAGCAGAAAAATGTTTATAGTAAATTGATTATATTGAAATAGATTGTATAGTTGTACCGAAATAGAACTAACATACATTACAATAGTGGTTGATTTTTTTTTTACATAAAAAAGTTTCTGATTGGGTGAAAGGAATATTTTTGTATTGCTGTATTAAATTTAGATGGTCAGTTTAAGATTTGCCTGTCATTTATCTATAAAAAAAATTGTGCTGCAGAAAAGTGCATGTCAAGATTGATCTTTTCTCCATAACTTTTCTCTTTCTGGAACTTTTATATATACTAGAAATAATTTTAAAAACTGGATTACAATTGAATTAAGATCTTGTAGAAAATACAGCATTGCAAACTTGGCAGTGATTTATCTCAAACTTTTTCATAACTTACCAATATTTTACACCATTTTTGTTAACTGGTGATACAGTTAACTTGCAAAAATCAGAAGGATCAGCTGTTAATATTAATAAGAAAATGAAGGAACAGCTATCATAGTAAAATTTAGTAGTATCAGATTATGGCTGATTTCCTACTTGAAGAATTAAGTAAAACCTAATGCAGGATCTAAGAAATATCAAAGAATATATTTTGAAAAAATGATATTGGTGGACTGTACAAATAGAATACGCTGTATAGTGTTAAAAATCTAGTGTCCATCTTAATAGTTTGGAGAAGGTAGTGGAAAACTTTGTTGTGAATATTTTTCCAGACATTATGTGTCTTGATCAAAAATTCTTCAAATTAGGTAATTGTGTGTCATAACATTTTCTCAGGGAAAGGTTATTTCACTTCAAAACAGTTCTTCAAGGATTTTCAAATTCATTCCATGTTAATATGAATTACTTGTCATCTGTGGTACCAGTGTCTGCAACTATAACATAAAAGATACATGTTTTAATCCTTCAATAAGTGTTTCAAGAAGTTTATTTTCAACAGATGGAGAAAAGTGCTGGTATTTTTCTTCTGTGTTGATGAAAGATGTGGGATGTGGTGGGACTGGATACAGAAACTTGAATCTGTAATTTATTCTCATTGCATTTTTCTTTGAATAGTATTGCAGATAAAAATGATAACCAACTATAGAAAAATAGTATCATGTTTCACCAAATACTATATTAAATAGGAATAGTCATTGCTACCCTGGGGAAAAAGCAGTTCCCGTTTGTAAGAGAAGTGGAAGAGAAAAATGAAATGTAAATGGTGAGAGATATTAAACACCTGTTTTACTAAAACGACACTGAGACTCTGTGTGACATGAATAAAGAATGAAAATCTGAATCTCTTAAAAATATATCTCATTGAGTGCAGTGTGGCTTATGTCCACGGAAGTAGGTGTAGAATTTGAACATAAATATACTAACCAATGGAAGGGAATATATCAGTTGTGAAGGGGAAGAGAAATTGGCACATATTCTAGTTTCTGTTCCTTGCAAACTGAAAACAATTGTGTTGATCCTTGTTCAGTTTATTTTGCCTTTGAACATTTTTGTTTACTATTTTAAAATAATTTGTTTAGGGTCATAGACATATCTCAGATATGTGATAACATATCAAATAAGAAAATAAAAGTTAGCAACGTTGACTAACCTTCAAGCTCTTATTCCAAAATGGGAAATTGGTTCTGTGTTCATTTATTTTTGATTAACTAGGTTTTTTTCTATATTTTCAGATACGGGTTGAAACCAAATGACCAGATTTTGGCAGAGGAGAAACATAAAGAGCTGTAAGAAATCCAATATGTTACTTCTTAAACTTGATTTTCTATTAATTTAATAGAAAGTGTTCTGTTTTCTCCATTTATTTATAGTAACTTTAATCTGTTTTTCTCTAAAAATATTACAAATGTGTTATTGAAGGTTGCTCCTCCCTCCCTCCCTCCCACTTTCTTTTCTCTTTCTCTCTCTCTTTCTTCCTTCTTCTCTTTCTTCCTTTCTCTCTCTCTCTTTTTCTCTCCTTCCTTCCTTCCTTCCTTCCTTCCTCCCTTCCTCCCTCCCTCCCTCCTTCCTTCCTTCTCTAGCTGCCAGGGTTGGAAGGTATATTGGAGGATTTCTAGTCTACCCCCCTGCCCAGGACCAGAATCCTCTGACCATCCCAGCCAAATTGTGTCCAACCTTTACTTGAAAAGCTTCAGTGATGGAGCACCCGGGACTCCAAGCGGGAGGCTGTTCCACTGCTTATCAGCTCTCACAGTCAGGAAATTCCTTCTTATCTTGAGTTTGAATCTCCCTTGGTAAAGCTTCTACCCGTTGGTTCTTGTCTTACCCTCAAGCACTATGGAGAATAAATCCACACCCTCTTCTCTTTGACAGCCCTTCAAGTGTTGGAAGACTGTTAGCATTTCTCCCCTTTGCCTTCTCTCCTTTAGCTAAACATATCCAGTTATTCTAACTGTTCTTTGTGGAATTTACCCCCCAAGCCTCTCACAATCTTTGTTGCTCTTCTACTGTATGTGCCCTTTCTGGTTCCTCAGTTCCTCCTTGTATTTTGGCAACCCAGACTGGACAGAGTATTCCAGGTGAGGTCTGACCAGAACAGCATAGAGTGGAAGTATCAGTTCCTGGGATCTTGACATTATACCTTTGTTGATGCAGCCCAAGGTTGCATTGTCTCTTCTGGCAGCTGCATCACCCTGCTGGCTCATGCTTAATGTGTGGCCAGATCCTTCTCACAAGCCTTATTGCTGAGCCAGGGACCGTCTGTCTTGTACCTGTGTGTCTGGTTTTTCCTCCTTAAGTGCAGAAGCTTTCTTTTCTCACCATAAAAAAGCATTTTGAACCTCGCGCCTGTCTTCTGAGGTTTTAGCAATACACCTAGCTTGTTATCTGTCACTATCTTGCCCTCTTCTCCATCAAGCAGACTGACCGTTTCCTTGATTTTCCTCTTGTTCTGAACATATCCAGAATATCCTTTTTTGTTTTTGTTTTGATTTTTGTTGTTCATTGCAAGCCTCAGCTCATTCGGGCCCCATCCTTAGGCTGTTCTCTGATATTCTGCTTCTATATATGCCCCTCCCTCCCGTTGTTTTTTAATTTGTCCTTTTTGTTTCCCAGTTTATTAGAGAACTCTTATGCAGCCAGGCCAGTCTTATCAGCTGTCTTCCATTTTTCTTTCTCTTTGATATCGTTTGTGTTTGGGCCTTAATTATCTCATTTTTCAGATTTTCCAATCCTCCTGAACTGTTTGTCCCTTCAGGATTTCCATCCATGCCATCCTTGCTGCTCGTTGAAGTCAGCTCTTTGGAAATCTTGAGCGTAGCTTCAGTTCTCCCTGCCTGCAGGATGATGAATTCTAAGATGATGTGGTCACTCTCTCCCAAGGTTCTTACAACTTTCACTTCCTCAACCATTTCTTCCTTGTTAGTAAGCATTAAGTCCATTGTAGCTAATCTTCTAGTTCCTCCTCCAACTTTTGGATGATGAAGTTATCTGCAAAACGTGTGAAGAACCTGTTGGATCTCCCACTTGCCACAAAGTTGGATTCCCAGTTGATGTTGGGGAAGTTGTAATCCTCCATTTCCACAGTAGTTTGTTTTTATTATCTTGCCTCTTTTTGCTTCTAAGGGAAGAAAGTCCTGTCTTACGTATTAAACATGCTTGTCAGAAATGCATTCTTAGAAGTGTCATTTGATACTGATTAGTGTTTATATTCTCAAGTAGCAAGTTATTGTCAAGGAGTCTAATTAGTCAGCTGATAACTGGTTGATGTCAAACTCATTGTGAAAAAAAGCAGACCTGCTTTAATTCAAATAAACAATGTTCTGAGTGTATAAAAATTTCAAATAATTACATTTGGGGGAACATTTCTTCAGTTGGACATTTCAAAGATGGCTGTAATTAGATCTTAATTTGATATACCGTTGAACTTTCATGAATACATGAGTATGGAGCTATTATACAGCAGCATAATGCATCTTAGTAATGTTAGTAGATATATTATTTAATTAGAGACAAATCACTGGCATGCCTAGATATATTGATTAAAAATTTGTACTGAAACATTTTCCAGTAAACTGCTGTTTATATTAGTGAACAACTATTAATGCCAATATATCAAGTCAAATCAAATGCTTTATTATAGGTTGGTGACCCAGTAATGCTAGTATAGGTATATGTGTATACACACACACACACACAAATAAAATATTTATATATTATACACACATAAACACATGTACAAGTATGCATATAATTCATCTAACATGTTGCACTGTGGCTTAGAACACTGCATAAAATGACAGGTGAATTAGAAGAGCAAGGCAGAGGAACACAGAGATGGCCTTGAAGAAGGCGTTCAGCAGCCCATATGTAAATACCAGCTTAGCCTTGAAAGGGAAGGGGGAGTGAGAAAGAAACTCATGATTGCCTTGCTCTGATGCTGTTTGGTATAAGAGGGGGGAGAGAGTCTCTGGCAGCTGCAGTTTTCCAGATTCTGTTATTGGACCCTAAAAAAAAAAAAGCAGAGTTCCAATAGTCCAGTGTTGTCCAAACTTGGGCACTTTAAGATGAGTGGACTTCAACTCCCAGAATTC